GGCCCTGCTCCGGGCGAGGCCGCTGAGTTCGGCGCTGGAGCAGGGAGCGCTGCCGGCAACCCGGCGGGCAGCGCGGAGGCACGGCAGAGCCCCGGGAACGGCCCCGTGCGCGCCGGCTGCCGGGCAGGGGCCTCGAACGAGCCACCAAACCTGCTGAAACAGACATCGGGAGATTCGGGGTTGGCGCTCATCAAATGCCTAGAGTTGGTAGCTCCGGGCGAGGTTCCCCTCGGAGCGGCAATGGTACTAGTCCTGATACCATTTTACCAATCTTTTCCGGCTGTTTAACATGCAACACACATTAAAACAACACGTCACAGCCCCCAGCACATCTACTCCTCAGGAGTAACAAAGCACTGTGTCGGAGTGTGCCTAAAGGTTAGGGGGGATGCTTTAGAGCAGACAGGCCGCAGGCTGGCATCCTTACGTGTGTCAGATTATTATTGTGACCAAATTATTGCAGTGTCTTGTCTTAAAGCACCTGTCGCTATATGGTGAATTCCTTTACTCAGCAAGCTGAACTCCCCTTGAAAGTCAAACAGTCAATCAATTCAGTGCACCGAATATCACTTTGGAAAGGGTCTGCTGCAATTGTGTGTAGCCTGGCATATGACCGTATGTACCTTTCAGATGGCCACTCCTTGAGCCCATTTCTGAGGCTACTTTCAATGACTAATTGAACCAAATAGTGCAGAATTAGGACACTCTTACTAAACCTGAGAAATCTCCCTAGGCCTTTGCGGGTGTTTCGTTTCTGTGCTTTGCAGCCAGAGCGCTGCCCTGAGTTTCTCTCAGGCGCTGCTTTGGGTATGCACAGCTGCTGGGCTGTTGGTGCCATTTAAACAGAGCTAGCGTGAAGATCTCATTTTCAGGTTTGCACTTCAAGGCACAAGACTGTGACTTTACAACTTAAAAAATAGCACAAGTGTATAAATCCGATACATGTCTAATAATTTAGAAGTTCTTTGCACCTTCATGTTGCAGCTGTGTGTGTAATCATATGAAACTGATATATCCCTCGGAAGGAAGAAGAACCTGTAATTTAGGTAGATTTCTTATATGCATATTTGATAACTGTACAAGATGTAGTGGAAGCACTTTCCTTATAATGAAAGTTTAGTTAAAGCATATCCATGGAGCCACTAAACACGTTGTGGAGGTCTAAGCTGTGCTGAAGGAATTAGGTATATTGAAGCAGCTCTTATAATGCTATGGCTTTGATTCCATGGAAGTAGAATGCAAGGTGACAATGAATCATTTGTAATGGAAAACAAACAGCAAAATTTAAAGTATATGCATATTGTTTTTGTAGTACCACTTCATTCTGAGGTCTGAAAGTGAGCCCAAGTGAACCCAACAAGAAGTACTCTTGTTGAAGATTCTGGAGAAATGGAAACGGGCTGTAGTAAGTTAAAAAACCTTTTGAATGCAGCTGCTGCCAGATCCTTTCAAATTATGTTTTTATTAAGTACGAGGTTTTGACTTTTTCAGTATTATAAAAGAAACAATTAGCAGACTGCATTAGCACAAAAGGAGTAATACACAATGTCAGTTCATGAAAAAAATGCTGTGAAGCTATAAAAGTGTCTTTTAGGCATGCTTTATTAAATAGAAAACAAAATAAAAGAAAGTGTGAATTCTAGGCATTGGCATAGGTTGTATCATAGTGCAGAAGTAGTATTCAGAGCTTGGAGAGTATGCTTGCTTGGAGCCTGGGGTGAAAAAAAAATGGCAAGGACATTTTCTGGTCGGGTAGATAAAAGAGCATTGGCTATATATTTCATTTGTGTTCCTTACTTAATTTCTTTTCCCCTTTCCTTATCTTCACACCTTATGCTCAGGCAGACCAGCACTTCATTTCTAATGGGAAGGCAGTCATCCAAAAACCAGCTTAATGAAAATGCTGCATTGCACTGGATTATTCCTGCTGTACACTGCTGAGGAATGAGGTGTATGCCGTTGGGAGCTTCTGAAACAAACCTGCAGTGCTTTTGTGATACTGTTATTTTGTGTCATCAGACTATCTGGAATACCTGGAAACACAGATTTATTTGTGAGTTGCCCTTTACAGATTTTTATATACTAAAGTTTTGAAGAAAATATTTTAAATGAACATTGCATCTTTTTAATCCTGGAGTTTATTTGGGATATAATTCCAAATAATATACATGGAGGAATCTGGCTCTACACGTACTGCTCTAGTCTCTGCTTGTTAGGTATAAACTTTTGACTGCAAAAGAAAAATCCGAATGTTCTTTTCCACTTGCCATAATCCTGTTTCTATAGATCAGTTTACCTTATAAAAAGTACATAACTTATTCAAGAGGTATTGACACTCATTATTGCAGTATTACAGTTTATATGCAAATTAGATACACATAATTTCTGGGAAATTCAAAGTAGCTGAAGTAGTATATTCAAGAACAACTCAAGGTGGTACTTTACAAAGAGGATAGAGATCTTTTTATGACACATATTTTAAATGTTATGTGTTGCCTATTTTGATATTTGACATTCTCATTCCTATTCTTGCATTAGATTTTTTCTCAATTGTAATATATAGAAAAGTATTTGTTTCATTATCAGAATTTATACTGATATATTTTAATGTTCTTTAAAAATAATTTATGAGCATAAATTTTTATATTAATTAATGTTACAATATTTGTGAAACTTGATAGTGCCATCTACTGCTGAAAAACAAACTTTTTAAAAACTTGCTAGTTTGGTACCTTCAGATTAAAGGGCATGTTAGAAAATATCTGTTGAAATAACAACTTTCAAACCTCTGAGAAATGTCGGGAGACAAGTCCTGACTTGCCAAGTCAGCTTCAGTCACTGAATTTCTGACCTTTCAACCAGTGACTATTTTGACCGAAACTGTAATGAGAAGAGGATCTGGGATTTTGAGTTTTTTTGATGTTACATTTTTAATAAAGAATTTTATTTTAAAATAGAGTCCCTGTGATATTCCTAGAAGAACACTGATGAAAGGAATCAGTGAAGCAACATTTATTTTTCACTGAGTGGTAGGAAGACATCCTCTGTGTTACAGAGATCTCAATCAAGCAGCCTGAAACTAGCATCACATGTGACACAAGTTCTGTTCCCATGTTACATCACAGAGTCATGAGCTAGACCATAGACCCCTGCTTGCTAATTGGCATAAGATGGCATGTTTTCAGCCACCATGGCTGGAATTCATCTTCCCTAACCCCTACCATCTAAAAGTTAGATGAGATCAACATACAATCTGAAGTACAGTACTGGCTCTTTCATGTCTTCATGGAGAAGAGCCTGTCTCTAGGACTAGTGAAATAGTTAGCATATGCTTACAATGTTTGCCCACATCCCAGAGATTAAGTATTGGTTATGATTTCATTCCTGGGAACCATGGAAATACAGGAAGTGCTAAGACTTTGTACATGAATATGAATAAGTAGAATATAAAACCTTAATCTTCCTGAGGAAAGCTTTAAATTTGACTCAGAGGAGTCAGGAGCAGTTGATCTTCTGCTGGTACTTGTCTCATCTTGTAGAATAAACTGGCATTGATATGATTTGAATGCGTGATTGTTAGAGTTTCTGTATCGTTACAGCCTGATGACTTAACCTTAGAAATCAACTTGCTTTCAAGTTGAAAAATTCTTGAGAACAATATATTACTGACCACAGGGATATTCCAGACAATATGACGTTGTGTTCAGCATATAAAGCTGGGAGAAGAAGGAAGGAGGGGGTGATGTTTGGACTGGGGGTGTTTCTCTTCTCAAGTCACCCATACCTGTAGTGAAGACCTGCTTTCCTGGGGATGGCTGAATGCCTGCCTGCCAGTAAGAAGTGAATAAATTCCTTGTTTTGCTTTGTGTGCATGGCTTTTGCTTTCCTATTAAACTCTCTTTATCTCAGCCCACAGATTTTCTCATTTTTACCCTTCTAATTATCTCCCCCATCCCACTGGGGAGCATGTGGCTGTGTGGGGCTAAGCTGCCCACTGGGGTTAAACCATGACAGTCCTGTTTTGGTGACCTACTTGGGGCTCAAATGCTTTGAGGTAAAGACAGGTTTGGTCGGAGTTTGCTAGACTGAATTTATAGCTTTTAGTGCTATTTAGCTATTAATTGTCAGGGTGCTGTCCTTGCCACGCTGCGCTTTCGTCTAGAGATTGTTAGTGGCTTCTTTTCACTCTGGCTGTTTGCTGTAGTGCTTATCATCCTACCCAGCTGTGGCTGGCAGCATTTTGATAACAGCCATGGCAATGTGCCTGGGCTGGCCCATGGCCTGGGCTGCAGCTCCAGTGGCAGCTTCAGTTGAAGGGACCTGACCTGTGGATAAGTCCCTGCAGGAGCAGGACAACCTGAAGTGTCTGTGGTTGTGGATAAGAGCATGTTGGAGCAGAAGCATCTGTGGCCATGGATATGTCTATGGCACAGCAGGTACACCCTAGAGAGACTGTGGCCCTTGGATAAGGCTGTGCTGGAGGAGGTGCACCTCAAAGTGACTGTGCATAAGGCCAGGCCACATTAGCTGTACTCTGGAGAGACTGTGGCCCATGAGTAGGTCCACACTGGAGCTGGTCCACCCCTAAGGCACTGGAGTCTCTGGATAAGTCCACACTGGAGCAGAGGCAAGGGTAGGAGTCCAAAGGGACCAGCAATGTCCCTGTTATGGGTACACCTTTAAATTATTATAAGCTATGATCTGAGTTGCATGTGATAGGATTACTGTGGCAGGAATCACTGCCAATGGAGAACAAGCCTTGCAAGAAGTGGGGCTTGTGCAGCAGCGACCTGAGCTGGCTTTGGTGCCCAATAACTCCACACAACACAACAGCTCTCTGGTCCTGAGTGACCACCAGAACAGATGGAGCCTAACATCCTGGACTAAATAATTCAATGGATATTTCACAGGCATTTTATGGACATTTTACAGGGAATGATATCTGTGAAGATATCAAAGGATGGGGAAGAGGAAGGTGACTGATGAGGATAATATGGGACCTAAATAGTAGGGAATATGGTGTGGAGACTGTACTGGCTACGACTGGGAAGGAATTAATTTTCTTCATAGTAGCTTGTATGGTGCTATGCTTTGGATTTGTGATGAAAACAGTGTTGATAAAACACTAATGTTTGTACTTCTCATGTGACACAGGGAACACCTGCACTGTCACCATGGAGGAAGGATGAACACTCTCACCCTTGGATAGGTATTTTCCTATGCAAAGTGCACAAGTTACAAGTTAATGAATTGCACGTTATGAAATAGAAAACTTGTGAGTTAGAAACCTCATGACTGATGTGGTGAGTGAATTCGTGACCTAGACTAGTTTGTACAAAGGGGACTGAAGCCCTTCTTCACCATGTTTGCTTTCTTTACTAATGAGCTTATAAAATAAAGTTTAATTTTCAAAGTACATTATCCTGTGAATTTGAGAGATCCAAACAGGCCATGACAGATTGAGTAGTCTGTGGCCCTTTTCCCTATTGCCTGTCCAAATATTTTAAAACAGAGGCAAACAGGCAGTGACTAGGTATCTTCCCCTGAAAAGAGTAGGGGAAATCCTTCATAACACCCCAGTTCTGCATACATTGTCTACCCCACGTTTTATTTTCCTTTAAGGGCTTTGCCAAAGACCTCTCATGGCTGCTTTTTTTTTTTTCCAGGGAAGTTTTAGTCCACCCTCCTCCAGTCCTTCCCTCTTGTTTCACTCACTGTGGACTGTGGACTTTTACTGTTAATGTGTGTCAGCCTAAGTAATTAAAAGCAATGCACATTGTATCCCAGAAAACTAGAAAGGTTGAAAATGCTCTTCTTCCATCACAGAGAAATACGCAAACTCAAATCACAGTCAGCAGGAAAATGAATAAGCTATTTGGTGATACCATGTGCAACAAAACAGCATCATAAAAATAAAATTATTTAAAGTAGCATTCAAATCATGCAGTCATCATTGATTTAGTTTCCAATTATACAGAGGTAATTGTATTAACAAACTGCCTTATTCAGTTTGGTGGGAAAACAATTGAAAGTTTTAATGTCCTGGCATCTGCAAATAATAAATGATATGATCTATGCACCCAGTCCAACTAGAATTCTAATGCTTGTTTTACCCAGGGCAAACTACAATATCAATATGCCAGAGATGGAAGATACTTTATGACTTTCTGGAGCCAAGACAGTTCTAGAATAAATCCAGAATAGAATAACTGTTCTAGAAATAAATATTGAAATATGCTAATATAGATAAAGGAACTTATTCCAGAATTAATGACCCTGTATATATTACTATTTACAATACAGGTTCAGTTGTGTGAATAGAAATGAATGCATCCTGCATTGCATTGAATATAGTGGGAGGAGTTTTAAAATACTTAAGTTTTGTGAGTTCAACTGCTGAAGCCAGACTACCTCTAAATAAACATTTTACAAAGATTCTAAAAGCATCATGGGCTTTAGAGTCAGAACCCCAAGTTTGATATGCTATTGAACCTCCCACTATCCTACATGTGTTGGAATACAATTATGCCATAGGTGAGCTGACCCAGATCCTGCCTGCCTTTCTTTCCCTTTAAATTCTCCAGCATTCCCAGGAGCCTAGATTTTTCTGAAGTGCACACTATAATTTTTCATGGGTTTTTTTGTTGCCTCTTCCACACCCAAAAAAAATTCCAGAAAGCGTGAAAGTGAGAATAATGCAGAGGTCCCCTTGACTTTCATTTTCTGATGCAAGAGGTAATACAAGTATTGGTAGGATATCTGTTCTATCAAAGTATTTTAGCATACTAAATCTATACAAATAGAACTCTTAACAAAAACTGTCTTTAATCTATGGTTTGTTGATAATTTCTTCTAGGGAATACCTTCCTTATCTTGTAACTTTTCATTCTGTGTGTCCTCTGTTAAAAAAGTGTTTGCTTCACAGGGGAGATTGTATATTATTTACTGTTCTGATTTTCATAGAGAATGGGTCAAGCTGGCTGCTTTACCACCCTTAATTTTTTCTTGGCCTTTTTTTTTAGATTTTCCTCCTGATTGTCATATGACATGGGAATATAAAACACTGTTTACTCCGTCAGCCTCTTGTCATGCCCCATATATTCTGCTAATGCAGCAGGCAGTTCGTCATTACCAAGTTTAAAACCTAAACAATCTGCTGTCTCTATTCATACTGTTCTGCAGGAGCTGCTCCTGGAGCAGCCACACAGGTTCTGGCCCAGAGTAATGAAGACTGTATCTGAATAGGAAGCAATATCAAAGAATCAGTGTGGTCCTCAGCACTGGACTGGACCACGTGCCTCATTTTTATCTAAATACCTGTTAGAAACATGGGAGGTTTGTCTCAGGGAGTGAGTTTCTGAGAAAACAAAATGTTAGCTTGATTCTCAGAATATGTAAATTCAACCCTGGTTTTTATGTGCTCTAGAGATCTGCTACCAGAGTAATTTTGTGGCTGCTCAGCAGCAGCAGCTCACAAAGCAGTGTTGGTATCTCTGGCAGCCCATGACCTGCTAACCACTTTTTTCTATTTTCTATTTATGAGTAGCTTATTCCAGAAGAAGTTATCCACTATTATAGTTCCCCTTAATTACCCCTAAAGGTTTGGACAAGTTAAACATATGCACATATTTCCAAATAAGCTTGGCCTCCTGCCAATTACTGTTTTTCTGGCTTTTTCAGAATTTTTTCTCATTTATCTTTTTTTGTTTTGACAGTATTGGGGATACAACAGAATATTTTAGGCCTAAATTAAAAATAAAATTACTTAACCTGATGATTTTACAGCTCTTCATGTGGAGTCAAAAATGACATTGCTCTTTTGCATTGCCATATTCTGTGCAAACTCACATCTAGTTGCTAAGGACAGTTTCCCATAATTTTCTTTTCCAATTCATACTTTTCAAGTTATTTATTCCACTGAAAGTTAGCTGGATTATTTGTACACTATTTATCAATTTGCCTTATTCTGGGTCAAAACTACCACTTTTGGGCACATAATTTCTTTGCACCCCATCTATAATTCTTCATCAGTATTTGCAGATTTTTGAGACGTACAGTTGTAAATGTCAGCAGTGTTCTGAAGTTTACTTCATAATCCTGCTGAAAATATTTTTAAAAAAATCCAGTCCTCACCCCTATATCTCTCACAGCCCAAGCATCTCCTCACAGTTCAATGTACTCTGTGTCTTTGCAGCTCTGTATTGAGGTTCCCAGTACATACTGGGGTTTCCAGCATAAGAAGGAGACATTGAAGAAGGAGAAGCCGATGTGGGAGCTGGAGCAGCAGTTTGGTAGTTGGCAGAGCGAGGCAGCTGGGCTGTAAGCAGCCTGAGAGCATCTCAGGGAAATGGCTTGCTGCTGGCAGGGTGTCAGCAGCAGCAGCAGCAGGACAGGAGGAGACACGACAGAACTGCAGATGTGACTGGCACAAGACTGGTGTCAAATGGTCCCAACACGAGCCACCCCAAACGATTGTAATCCTCATTTTTGATTCAGCTGCAGGGCTGATAAGGCTGCCACTGTTAAGAGCTAATTGTGCTCAAAGGAGCTGCCCTGTTTGTTGCTAGAGAGCCTTGGCGCTGGTTCTGCAGCCCTGCGTTACACGGGGGCAGCTGGCAGGGAGCCGGCAATGCTCCGGCACTGCAGCACCAGCGCTGAGCTGGGCACTCAGGGCACGGCTGTCCTCGGCAGCTCACAGCTGGCACAGCAAAGCCAGCTGGAATGCATTTCTCAAATCTTGACAAAATATGCTTTGAAAGCTTTCCAGAAAAATCTACTACATTGCATCTGCTGCCTTCTCATCAGCCATTCCTTTTATAAATCTGTCTGAATGGAGTTTACACTCTGTAGAGTTTACACGGTAAAAAATTTCTAATAAGACCACAGTATTTTTAGACTGTGGCCTTAGAACTTTCCAGATGTTGAGCAAACACTGTGCAATATTTCTAGTAGTACTCACTAGGAACAGAAATTATGCTTAGGAAAGATTGATGCCAAGTACCACTCCTTTTTCTTGTGAAAATTGGTGAGATGTTTTGTTAATTGATGTTTCTCAGCTTTCTACATCTATTGTGGTGATAATTTATGTTGTAATTGCAATAAGTGTATCATGTGTTCCAGAAACTATAGCAGAATGCAGCTACTCTTCCAATGCAGCAAACATAAAGGATTGCCTATATTCATTTGCAGTTTCTTAATCAATTGATTAGAAATCTGATTTTCCATCAAGCTCTCTGTTTGCAAGGTCATAAAGGCTGCTTTTCTTAGCATGCAGTGTGTGTTACATAGCTCACTGACTGTTTCCAAGTGCAACAAGAGCTGGAGGTGTGTTGCTTGATGGAAACAAATCCATTGAACTTGAGTTCAATGAGATTTTGCTTAGGTGAGCTGATAATACCAAGCAAAAAAGGTAGGCCCCTATGATATAAATCAAGATATTGAGGACTTTTGCAAGTCTCATTAGGTTACTGTGCAAACAATGAAAATGAGAACTTTTTGGAATGAGATGGTGCTGCAGTTCACACATATAACTTTTTCTCTGCTAATATAGATCATAAGTTGGCTGTATTAGCTGGTTAGCTTTGATAACCTAAATTGCTGTGAATCTTCCTGATTTCCTTGCAAAATGTGAAGCTGTTTTTAAGGAGAATTGGTGAGAAAACACAGCGCAGTGAATTTCACTAACTTAGGCTGGCTTGTAATGGAAAGGCCTGCAGTTACCCTTAGGCATGAACTTGATTACATGAAGAATAAAAAATACAAAATAAATCACATGCTTTAATTCTAAATTACATTATTTGATGTAATAAGAACTTCCATACCAGATAAAATCTAAATTAGTTGTCTGCCAATAGTAATTCCCAGATGTCTCTGAGGAAATTGCCCTATTCTTCAACCTCCTTTCCCCCCTCTGCAAGTATAATTGATAATTATGTAATAGCCTGACTGTAGGGGAAGTTATTTTCTAACCTCAGGCTGGTGGCTGATTTATGCCCTGAATTGTGAACATTTATATCCATTATGAATTTTTATCAGGTCCAATCTAATTCCCCTCACAAATGTATGAATATGTATGTATAACCTTTTACTGAATCCTGCTAAGCACTTGGCCTCAATGATACCATTTGCCAGCAGGCTTCACAGGCGTATTATTTTTTACTTTAAATATAATGCCTTTTACTTTCATTATGACCATCAGTATTTTCTTGAGGAATGTATGAGCAGTAGTGATAACCCCCAATATCCTTTTCCCCAGTAACTGCCTGCTCTGATCAGATCTCAAGCCTCACCTGGATCCTGTGTGCCTGTGCTGGACCAGAAGGTAAAAATCTCCAGCCTGCCAACATTTCCTGCTCCATCCCTCTTAGTCCAGACCTCACCTTTTACATTGTGGGTTGACGACAGGCAGAAGGATGATGCTTGCAGTGAATGAAAAGGTTAAAGTATCTTTAGGACTACAGTCACTCTGCTGCACCATGACTTCCTGAATTTGTGGGGGTCATTACATTTTAATGTCAAGAGAAGAGTTTATTCTGGGGAGAAGAAGTTATTTTGGACTACGGGAAAGACATTAGTTTTGATTTGTGTTGGGTCAGGTCAAAGAGGTGCTTTTGTAAAATACTGGGAAGGGAGGACTTAATCTTGGGGTGGGCTATTACAGCTACATTTTATTGTAGGAAAAGGGTAGATTATGTTTGATGTGGTGGAAATTGGTTATACCTGGTAAAAGAAGGTTAGATTAAGAGTGATTCTGAATAGAAAAGTAAGAACTGTTTTACCTGAAGATGGGATTTCACTGAATGTCTACGTGGGCTGACTACTGCCGTGATAATAGCTGGGTTTTGATTAGAGGCAAAAGAAGATGAAACAGACTATTGGGAAGATCATGCAGAAGCAGCAAGAAAAAACAGTGTTTACCTTTCTCCTCTCAGTCCTGAGACATTATTGGTGGCACCTGCAATGAAAAAAGACAATGAGACCAACTTCAATGGTCCATGCATGAAAAAATACAGGTTTGTGAGTCCTCATAACATACTTTCAATGAGGAACTATTACTGGGCTGGAGAAGTTCATTTATGAAGAACAGGGTTATATGCAAAGCCAAAAGAGACATGTGGGGTGGTTACAACAGACAGCTGGCAGTAACTCCAAACGGTGATCACAGTCAGTATTAAGCATCTGTGGACTTAACCACAAAACTTCAATTTTGGGGTAAATTCTTTAGCTTGGGAGTGAGTGCTGAGATATGGTCTCTTGTTGGTTTACTTAATTATATAATGAACAGCTCTGAAGTTTTTATTTGGATTAAAATTTCCCTGGAACTCAAGTAATTTAGATCTGAGGTTTTGGCTCTAGTCCCTCCCCAGCTTGTACTCAATATAAATTACTCTCCTAGAACCATGACATGTTCAATTTATACTCCATTTTAGATGGCTGAAAAGTGCATACATAATTCTGTGCATGCCACATTTTCTGTAATCTACTGTGACGAATAGACCAAATGACTGAAACTGCTAGCTGATACACTTTATTTTAGTCATGAACCCACACCCAGCCGTAGTTAAAATACCAGGCATCTGAATTATTTTATTTGAATCAATGCCAAATTCAATCTTATGCAAACACAGAAAGGGAGAGGGAAAAGACGTCCCAGTATTAACCCAGTGATTTATGCGTGGGAACGCAAGGCCACAACAAACAGCAACAGGCCAATTGTAACAAGAGGAGTGGCCCACCATGAAAAATCTGACTACTTTTCATTGGAGCTGCTGTGATTGAGGAGTTGGGAACATGGTGATACTTTTACTCATAGATAATGTCCACAAGAAAAGTAGACTCAGGGAGCAGGATTCCCCAAATTCCACCTTCTGTCAAAAACATTGGTCAAGCTCAGTGCACTCATCTCCATTCACAATGGGAGGATTTCCATGGTGCAGTACAACAGACGATAACAAATATTACCATTCTGGAGAGAAAAATAGGAAATAGTTATATCACACCTGCTTGAGATAAATATATATTTTTTCATTATCTAATTCCTAATAACTATGTAAAATTAAGAGCTGTGTCCAGAAATAATGAGCCTTGGTGCTGAGTTTGGATCTCCTGGCTCAATCTGACTTGCCCATTAGGACCATGACTTTATGTACAGAGAGGCAAAGTCACCTGAACATTCCTCAGGAGAAAGGAGGACTGTCTAGAATTTTGTCAGCATTAGACATCCCATAGGGATAATGACTTGGAGGATTATTTTATACTCTGAAATATTACTATTTTTCTAAGGGCTCTTTTTACTATGTACCAAGACCATGTTTGCAGAACCAAATTATAGGAAAGGCAGCCAAAACTTTTTAGCTACACCTTCTAATTCCAGCATTCAACTCAACCAAACCAAAGAGGTTTCTGGGTACTGGCCTTGAAAGCTTGTTACTGAAGTTCTCTTTACCCACTGGTGCCCAGAGAAGCTCTGAATGAACTTCCTCTGAAGTTACACATGGAAAGGTTCAACTCCTTACAGTTCTTTAAGCAATTTTCTCCTCAGCCAGAGACCTATCCCCTAATTTGATGCCTCTCAGTGGAAATATTTTTTCTCTCAATTGTCACGCCAAACAGTTGTCCGCTTTGTTAGTTTCTTCACAGAAAGGCACCTGTTCAATTTTAGATACTGTTCAGCCTGTTCCACTTCAGTGGTCTGCACTACTCCTCCGAGAGCCCTGAGCTTTCCACATATTTCAGGCTGCCAGCTCTCTTATGTGCTTTTCCCCAGCAGCCAATTTTGCTTGGAAGCTCTTACGACTGAGCCAGCTTCCATTCCTTCATAAAGGGATACCCTCTTGTTATTGCAATTGAGGAGTTTCATAAGAGGCTTTTAATGTCTCCAGAGTGTTGTTGTGTACAATAAAATCTTGAATTAAGCTTTACCTAACACTTGTTCATGCAATACTCATTTATTGGCAAATTGCATTTGTTTCTGCTGTTGACAGATACTTTTAGGTTTATTTCTAATACCACAATTATATGATCAGATTAATATAGGCTTAAATAAAATGTTATATGCTTAGTTTGAATAGCAGGAGCATTTCCAAGCCTGAATCACTAGTATGTGCACTGCCATCTTGTGTCCTGAAGTTCTAGATAATATAAAAATGCACAGTATATGCAGAGATTTTTACAAAATAGGAGTTAGCTATATGAGTGGAATCCGCAAGGTTGTCAAAAGATGTTTGCAGTAATTTCCTTCTTTTTCTTGTAAAATGTAGAATAGTCATTAAAATAGCAAGTCTGACTGATAACTCTAAATCCATCTGTTCTAAGGATCTATTCCTTTTAATTAGTGATTTGTGCATAAACCAGGAAAAAAAGAGGAAAAAAAGAGAAAAAAAAAAAAGAAAAAGGCTACAGAGAAAATTCTGCTACAGCAAACCCACTCTCTCTTCCCGTAATAAGGTCCAACACAGACTCCAAGATATAGCTCTATTGCAAGACAACCTCTGAGCTGGTGTGGAGCTCCCAGAGCAGTTCTATGCTAAATGCTTCTCTTCTGCCAAAAGGGGGTATGATAGAAAAGAGTGAATATTTTTAGCTGGAATCTCTCCCTTTGGAGCAACCATGGTCCGAACATAACTAGACTATCACTGAGTCTGCTCCAGTGCTCACCAGAGGACTGGGCACCTGGCTGCAGGTGGACCTAAAGTGACATGTACTTACAAAATGAAAAAAGTGAATCTAACATTTCTGTCCCAAAGTGTTTATTCAAAACTGGATTCAAAACACAAAACCAGTGACATTTTGGTAGATGAAATAAGTACTGCATGCTTCTTCTCTAAAAATGATCATTCCTTCATTACCTGCTATTCAAAGAAGCCTTTTAGTATGTTCAGACTTCCAATTGCTTTCACTGTATATAACAGTATTTAGCTATGCCTTTTTGTTATGTTTTTATTAGTTTTAGCTTCTTTCTTTTGTTGTTTAGTATTGCAAATGCGTAGGAGAACTCTCAAGCAATTTTGAAAATGGCTCTATAAAACCCCAAAGATTTATTCCCTACAGTTGTTGTTGCCTGAAAAAAGCACAGGAAGCAAGATAGGGGAAAGGGTGAAAAACCAAACACTAAGCTTAGAGACACCTGGGGCAGGGCAGAAAATAGTGAAAGCCTATCAAGGTAATAGGTGCCAAGGTAAAATGGCAGAGAACATTAGTAGGGGACAGAAGTGCTCCCTGCTTTACCTGCTCAGACATTTGCCTCAGTTAGTGGCTTTCCATGCCACAGATTTTTCTTTCCACCTGTTTGGCATTTCTCAGCCCATGTGCACATACTTGTGTATGCAAACTTACAGTATTATTTGCCACCTCTGAAAGGCAAACACTTGTGGCACCCATTATTGTCTGAGGCAAATGGAACTTCTGTCTCCCAAGGTCATTTTTTTATTCCTTAAATGCATAATATACAATGACACAGAGTTTAAAAAACCTCCCTTTCTTGTGACATGAGCAGTTATAATGACTTGAAAGAGCTTTTGCTTCTGTAACAATACTTTTATAATAGTTTACTGCTTTATGAACTTGTCTTCAAAAAGCAATGTGTGTATTGCAGCCTGGTTGCATAACCTCCTGCTCAGTAACAGGAGAACATTAAAACTGTTTGCACAACACTGTTGAAGTAACACAAAAAGCTTATTGAAAAGAGCTTTGTCATTTCAAAATCTGGAATGCTTTGTTAAGAAGATTGTTAATGCTATTTTGTTTACTTTATCTGCCCATAAGACTCCTGCCAGTCTTCTTAGTTTTCTAGTGGAGAGTCATACTTCCTTACTTTATATCCTTTGCTGTGTTATTAGCCAAGAGATTTTCAGATAGAAAAAGGTAATTGGCTACATATGAGGAATGATAAAACAGTAACTCAAATACTGCTAGAAGTTACATAAAATTAGGTAGGAAAGTGTTTTCTGTAATCTCTGCTCTACTGTAACCTTTGATGGGTGTGCATTTACCTCCCTGGTGACTGAATAGCACTGGCTGTAATCGTTACAGGGAAAGCAGAAGAGGGAAAACTACTGCAAACAAAGCAGGTCTGGGAGGAGAACTGATGCCTTTTGTGTCCTCAGCTCCTGGAGATGTTGGCTGATACAGCCTGTGACTGGTCACTCCAAGTCTCTCAAGCACCCCATGCTGCAGCTTTTGAGTGTCTGCCAACAGTTGCCATAATGTGTTAGATTGCATAATGTCCTAGGAATGGATGAAAGTTTGTTGTTTCCATTTCCAGTTTGCTTTCCATTAGCTGGTTCATTTTGTCACTGTGATGCTAGAAGATGCCTATCCATTAGCTGGCCCATTTTGGTAACTACCCACCAGCAGAAGTTGATGGTGGGAGACAAAATATTAGGGATAATTGTAAGTATGTGAATTGAACCTGTCCCCTCTGGATGAGCTACTACATGCTGCAGTACCATGTCTGAGCTGCTGGCTGAATACTAAATATGAACTTTGGAGAAAATGCTAGTTCAAGTTTAGACTTTTACATTCCCATCTAAGAGTGCCCCTGACCACCTAAAGTCACAAATATTAGGGAAAATTGCAACCACTGTGTGCAGCTGGGTCCAGCTAAACCAGCAGTGTCCTTGAGAAATAAAAGAACACTCAGAGAAAGAACAGCATCAGGGAAGGGCAGATAGAGCTGCATTGACTTCAAAGTGTTTATTTATATTTTATCCTATAATTAATATTTCTAAGTTTTTCCAGGGGTACAAAACCTACCATGTCTGTTATTGCAGTCTTTGGCTCTCCTAGCAGAAGTAAACAGATCCCTAGAGCACACACTACATTTCCCAGAGGCCTTGCATGTAATTTATTACTCAAGCATACTTGTCTGAAGAAAAAGGAGCTGTACTGCCGAGCACAAAATAACAGGTCCTGAATTTAAAGTTTCATAGGTTTTTGTTTTATGTTTTAACAAAACTGCCTTTCCTTTAAAGTGTCCATCTGCAGGGCTATAAACATTAGTGACGAAGCCTCTGCTTAGGTTTATTTGCTGTTAGCAAGAGCAGTTGGCCATCTGCTGGGTAAAAGGAAGGCTGGGCTTTGGTGCATTTGGAAGCAAAGGTCACAAAGAGCACCTCCCAGTCCTTTGCCAATGACACATTTAGGCTGTGACAGATCATAAAATGTCTTGTTAATCTACCCTGCTCACCTTTCCAGATCTCCTTAGATCAGAACTCAAAATCATGAAATTTCAAATGGCCCTCACACAGAAATGCTGTCTATGTAAGATACTTGTCCCCAAATGTAGTAGGTCAAATGAAAAGATGTCACCAGGTCTCAGGGTCCAGCTTCTGCTTCTGTGTTTCAGGATGTGAGATGGGGATGTCTGTGGCCTCTGGGGACTCCAGGACCCACTACTGGCCCTGAGCTGGAACTTCCTGCAGGGATTTGCAGGGCTGAAGACAAAATTTGCCACAGAGGCACTGATTCAAATCAGCTCATTACAGGCCAGCACTCCAGAAGTCTGAGGGATGCTTGTGCAGCTGACTCCGGAGTCTTGTTCCAACACTTGGTACATTTTGAGGAGTCCTGGAAGCAACGTACAAGGAAAGATGGAGTAAGAAATCAAGGGTAAAAAAATCCCCAAATTTGGAAATATTTTCTTTTAAACCCAGTCAAAACATAACTGACTCAAATCTCAAGTAAGATTGACAAGGCAAAAGGTTCAAGTTTGCCTGTTTTAACACAGCCAACATTGCCATACAAGTCAAGTAAGAGCTACGGAAGGCAGGAACACTTGGCAATTCTGGGACACAGAGTATCACCCAGAAAATAAATCTGAGGCAAATAATTTTTCCATTTTAATTTTTAATGGGTTTTAGAAACTGCTTAGAAGCTGTAGTAAAATATATTTAGATACTATAACAAAAGTGCTTAGAAGATACTTTGCTGATATATAAATACACAATTCAGTTGATTACAAAATAATTGCTAAAAAGCTTTCCATAAAAGCCACTGAAGATCCAAAAGCAGTGCTTTCTGCTCTGTGAGTTTTGAGGAGAATTTGAATGATGTACTGAGCACCAAATGAGGAATTTAAACATACTACTGGAGGCATAAGATAGAAATGATTCCTAGCCATTTAAGGAAAAATTCAAACACAGAAGAAAGACTCAAATTAGGGGCTCAAAACCAGTCATTTTAGCTCTGTCTTTTTTCCTATGTACCAGGAGTCACAGTCTCCATTTCAGCTGAAACTTGCTATTCTAATTGGAGTAAAGCAGTTTTAATGCTTTTGGCCCAAGTTGCTTTGTACCAAGATGTCCAAGCAAGTGCTACCATTGTCACAGCAAGATAATTGTCCTGATAAATGTTTCAATTTTCTAACTCTCCCTCTGTTGAATTTATTATTGTGGTTTTATTCTTCCTTCAGTCATGAGGTTGTACTATTTTCCTTAACTGCCCTCTTAAAGCTAGTGCATCCATAGGCCAGGATGGAGTGCTCTAGCAGGGGAGCCAACACTATTATTCCAGAGTCTTGATGTTCCAGCAAGCTTGGGAATGATTGCCCTGAGGTTTCTCACCAAGCTGCTTTCAGCTCACAAGAGCATGAGGAATCACTTAGTACCTCTTTTTATGCCTAGTCATTAGGTATATTTACAGTAGTACTTTCTCCCTCAAAGTCTGGCACTGCTTTCTTTGCCCCTGCTTTCTGTTTTACAACTGTTCCTTTGCCCCTAAACTTCCAGCACTGCAGCGCTGAGGAGCCATGAACACAAGGACAGCTTGTTTTTTCACTTCTCAACACACAAAGAATGTTGTGTTAAAGAGAAAATAAATTCTGGTTTTCTCTCATTTGAAAATGCCTACCTTCTTCAGCGACATCACTGCATGTAATGGAGCAGTAAGCTGGTCCCCTATCAAACAAAGCAAGCAGCAGAGATTAATTATCTC